CCTTTAAAGTTGTCCAAATGAAGTCCTTAGCAATGCATATTACTGCTATGTTTTAATATATTTATGGTAGGAAATTTACAAAATATCTTCATGGAACATGATCTTTACTTAATATCCTAATGATTTTTGGCATAAAAGAAAAATCGATAATTTTGACCCATACGATGTATTGTTGCTATTGCTACAAATATACCCCAGCGACTTAAGACTGCTTTTGTGGTCCAGGGGCACATATTGTAATGTTGTAATGTCTAAATAAATTCACTTATAGCATTTAAAGAAATTGCTTTAGTATTTAGTATTTAAAATTTATTTAGAAAAAATACTAGCAAATAGAATTTTAAAATCAGCCATTTATCAGTTGTTAGCCATACCATGAAAATTATTATCGGCTAATCTCTATCACATGTGATTAGCTGATAATTTAAATAGTAAACTATTGGCTAATTCACATTTAAAATAAAGCAAGCTCATAAAATTAGATTGCATGTGTCATCTAGGTGGTTATGTAAGACACTGTATTGATTTTGAAATGGACTGTCACCTGGAACGGATGTGCAATATTGTTTCACCACTTTTCTTGCATGGTCACTCTTTGTATTTATTAGATTCGGACAGTGGAATTTCCCAAGGCAGGGTGGCATATGCCACGTCCAAAAGTTCCTCATTCTCGGATGACAGTTACGGCTGTCTGGCCTGGAATATCCCAGCGCTGGAACTCATGGCACTATATGTAGCAGCTGCTATGCATGACTATGATCACCCTGGGCGCACAAATGCCTTTCTTGTAGCCACTAACGCTCCTCAGGTAAGTCATGAGTAATGCCCAAATTGTAGTTTAGAAGAACCTTCGAATTTGTATAGTTCATTTGGTTCTGAATAGATCATTAGAAGTCTTGGCTATTAGATCTAGTTTTCACACTGTTGTGTCAAGAAGTGAAACCAGCCCATCTTTTATCAGAAGCATATGCTTTTGTAATCAGAGCAAGGAACCTCTTGACTCGTGCACACTATGTTTCCCTCTTCTTTTCTTAATCTTTCTTTCCCTATTTCCACCTCTCCACACACTCTCTCACACAGGCGGTGTTGTATAATGACCGTTCGGTTTTGGAGAACCACCATGCAGCCTCTGCCTGGAGCCTGTTTCTTTCCCAGCCGGAGTTCAACTTCCTGTGCAGTTTGGACCACGTTGAGTTTAAGCGTTTTCGGTTCCTAGTCATCGAGGCCATCCTCGCAACAGACCTAAAGAAGCACTTTGACTTCCTAGCAGAGTTTAATTCCAAGGTCAGTAGTAGGGGTGCATTGATATGCTATCAACAACCAATATCAATAATCAATAACAAGCACAATAGCTTGTTGTGGTTGATATAATAAATCAGACCAACTCTAAACTACTGATTTTTAAAGGTGACATATCATGAAAATCTGACTTTTTACGTGTTGTGCTATGATTGGGTCCCCGGTGCATCTACCAACCCAGAAAATGTGATAAATTTCAACCCAGTAAACCAGATTTCACTCCCCCTGTGTCGTAGAAAGGGGATCTTATTATAATATTACCGCCTCTTGATCTGCCAGCTTCCACCCACGGCGCCACCATTGTGTGACAATGGTGTACCAGTTCGAACGCCATGGTGAAAGTTCGAGCAAAGCATGCTAACCGGTCTGTCTTTAGCTGCACTGACGAGCACAGAACACTGTTTAGAGTCCCAGCCTCAAAGGAGACGAGAGCAATGGATTTATTGATTTATTTACTGTTTATTATGCTGCTGCCACACAGATCTAATATAAACATGCGATTTCTTTCTCATCTGTTTACCTTCACAGACATAACCGACTGTTTTTGTAACTCGTGTGTTTTCAACAAACTTCTGTGTATTTGACAGTTTAAGCGCAATAAGACATGAAAGAGAACTTAGTTTAGCAGAAATCCGTATATCAGAAGTTGAAGCTAATATGGTTTAAAACACATGATTTCAGCTCAATAGACATGATATTTAAAACCAAACAGATGTTTTTAGCAGAGTATCGGAGCAAGGAGCTGTAAAGGCACAGCCCTATTCTGGAAAAGGGGGCGGGGAGCAGCAGCTCATTTGCATTTAAAGAGACATGCACGAAAACAGCTTGTTTCTTCCGCTCAAAATAGGCATTTTCAAAATGTTATAATAAATGATCTGTGGGGTATTTTGAGCTGAAACTTCACAGACACATTCTGGGGACACCTGAGACTTGTATTACATATTGTAAAAAGGAGCATAATAGGTCTCCTTTAATTTGCCGATCAATGTTATTTTATTTTTTCAATGATCATAAGTAATGTCAACCTCTAGTCAGCACCTTGCACCCATATAGAACTAGGTTAATTAAACCTTTCAACTAAAGGAATCAACATGGCCAGACATGGAACATTTTTTGCAAAATAATAACAAAAATCGCTCAATTATTAATAATAGCTTTTATCAATGTTGAAATCAGTTTTTGGTCGATTCTTTGATGAATATAAAGTTCAAAAGAACAGCACTCATTTGAAATAGAAATCTTTTATACCATTACAAAATGTCTTTTCTGTCACTTTTGATGAACTTAGTTGAAAATTTTAAATCTTAATATTAAGCAACAAAAACATCCCACATTGATAAGAAATGTTTCTCGAGCACCAAATCAGCATATTAGAATGATTTCTGAAGGATCATGTGACACTGAAGACTGGAGTAATGACTGCTGGAAATTCAGCGTTGCCATCACAGGAATAAATGACGTTTTATATATATTCAAATAGAAAACAGTTATATTAAATTGTAATCATATTTTTAAATGTTATTTGTAAATTGCAATAATATTTCACAATGTGTTTTTGATCAAATAAACGTAACCATGGTGAGCATAAGAGACTTCTTTCAAAAACATTAAAACTTCTTTATTCTAAATTTTGACCAGTAGTCTATGTTTAAAAATGTATAATTTAATACATATCTCCTGAACATGCCTACTGCAGAAAGTTGTGCTATTTTTAGGTTAATCCTCTGATTGATCCTTTTCTTTTCTTTTTTTACAGGTTAATGATGTGAATAGTCCAGGCATCGACTGGACTAATGAAAATGACAGGTTGTTAGTGTGCCAAGTGTGCATTAAGCTGGCAGATATCAATGGGCCAGCCAAAGAACGCAGCCTTCACCTCAAATGGACAGAGGGTATCGTCAATGAGTTTTATGAGCAGGTATGTCCTATTCTCTTCACATAACTTACACAACATACAGCAGCTTGAGATCAACATTTGTGCATTTCCGCCTTTTCAGGGTGATGAAGAAGCCACTCTAGGATTACCCATCAGCCCTTTCATGGATCGCTCAGCACCACAGTTAGCAAAGCTGCAGGAGTCTTTTATCACGCACATCGTCGGGCCTCTTTGTAACTCCTACGATGCTGCCGGCCTGCTGCCGGGATACTGGATTGACGAGGAGGGCTCAGACGATGAAGAAGAGACAGAAGACATTGAAACAGAAGATGAAGAACTGGACGAGGATCTTGAACCAAGTATGAATATACAGTTGTGTAAAAAGATAGACCATTTGTGTTTAGATTTTTATTTAGTACTTAGGTATCGCACACACTAATCGAGTAGTTTTCCTTACAGAGAGGAGGAAGGGTCAACGTCGGTTATTCTGCAGCATCATGCAGCACTTAACAGAGAACCACAAGGTGTGGAAGAAGACCATCGAAGAAGAGGAGAAGGCCAAAGAGCTGGAGACTCAGCAGCAGCAATCCGAGAGCCCCAGCCTTCCTCCGTCCACCACCACCTCCTCCGACGACATCCAGGTCATTCAAGAGGAGGCCGAGGAGGAGGAACGGCAGTAGCAAGAGGAGAAGGACAAGCAACGAAGCTCACCGAGGGGCTTAAACGACCCGTCCCTCTCCTTCACCTACACAAACACACACATTGACACCCAGAGGAAGACCCTAGCGGATCTCCCCGCGCTGAAATTCGTCACTGTGCCGACACTCTGAAGCTAATGCAGTTCACATTGTGTTGAAAAAAAGGCCTTACTACTGTGAGAGGACCCTTTGGTGGGAACCCCACTCCTATGCACTTTCACCCCATGGAGAAGCAGCGGAGAACGAACAGAGCTTTGAAGACGCAGAATCGTGTTGTGAGATTAAAACCAGACGGAGAAGAACACAGGCAGGGGAGAATCGTGCCATCCCATGGTTCCCTGGCCTTGAACGTAGAGCTCTTAACTCTCCCGTAGGTACTTAAGTCCAAAAGGACACGAAAAAGACAATGACGCAATTGACACCCGTTACCAAAGCGAACAGTTCAAAAACATAGAAAGACTGCGACTGAAGCCTTTTCAGGCTCAGTGTCAAAATGTGCCTGTCTGAACTTAAAAAAAAAATATATATATAAAATATTGTTTGTTTTTATTTTTCTTGTGGTCCAGAAAATGGGCTATGCACGCTGCACTGTATGTGCAGTCCCCAATTTATGCTGGCGACATAAAACACTGTATTACTGAACAGAGTCATTAGGACAAGTGGAAATGCTGACATTTTGACTGAAAAAATGACCTGACTTCTGCATCGTTTTGGATGCTTTTTATTCATGTTGATCACCTTCTTGCAGTTTTTTTGTTTGCATTTGTTGTTTGTAAGGTTGTTTCTTTCTTTTTTTTCCATTTGTGGTGTCCCCCGGCTCCCCCTTTTTCCTCTTCAGGAACGCTGAGTTGCCAGTCGTTCTCTGTAAAGTCCGTCTGTGTTTAAAAGAAGCATCGCAAATGGGACAGGAATGTTGTTCAAATGAAGGGACGTTTCTCCTTTTTTACGTTGAAATAGATATATTTTTTCACGGTTACTCAGGATTCATGTGAAGGATTGATCCTTGTTTTTTGCGAAAATTTAATTCTGCAATTTCAACTTGCACGTCGAACATTCTTTTCAGAGGTGGGACAAAAAAAAAGTTTCTATTTTTTGTACGAATAGCTTGAAAGTCGCTAACAACAAAAGATGCTCCCCCAAAGTGCAGTGTCCTACATATTAACCCCCATCCTTATCATCTGCTCCAGACCAGTATATCCATGTTTATTTTTTCAAAGACCCCCTGATAAGAATTGGGAGCCAGGGAAGTTTACTGAAAACGAAATGTTTGAGTTAGCATGCATGTCATAGACTAAACATTGCTTTGGGGGGTAACTTCATGTTTGGCATTATTTGAACATGCTTGTACTTTAATTATTGCCAAACGCAAAATCCGGCCAGTTCATTTTCAAGGAATCCAGGGTTTCACCTTGAAAGCTGTACTTTTTTTCCTTTGAATTTTCTTATTCTTCACCATAAGGCAAGTTTAATACTAATAGTTCTATTTTTTTTTTTTGTCTCAAGCAAGAACTCTAGGCATTCCACTAGAATAATGAGGGGAGGACGGGGAGGCGGAGATGAACCCGGGTCTCTTTCTCTCTCTCGGTCTGCCTCACCTCAACAAAAACTCATTTTGTCTCTGTAGAGGAAAGTTCTCAAGTAGGCAGTGTAAATCAAGCTAGTATATTTAAGAGTAAAAAAAAAAAGATATAAATGTGCACATTTTACTACCAAACAAGTGTTTAACCTCTGCACAGAAAGAATACTTGCATATATAAATATATATATTATATTATATATTTTTTAATTAATCAACAATGCGTCTGTTTTCTACATACAGCTGACATATAATGTACATTGAGACCATGTAATTATCATCTTGTTTCAGGAGTTTAAAAAAAAAAATCTAATGCTATTTACAGATGTGGATGTGTTTGGGTGTTGTGTTTTTCAGTTTGTTGGTTGTTTTTTTGTTTTTTTTGGGTGCACTGTCTTTTGTTCCTGCCCATAACCACTCTTTTGCCGAAAGCCCCTAATTTCTAAAGCTGGTGGCGATGCCGGATGCCTCCCTGTCTCTGTCTCCCTTTGTGGGTTTGTTCATTAGTCACTTTTTTGGCCTGTGCTCAGGGTGTGTTCTGTGTTGGGGGCTTATGCGCACCCAAAGCAGCTTGAGGTCTTTCTCTTTTTCTGTCCAGACTGTGTGTTCATCAGTTCTTGGATCCGGGACTCCAGTGTGGCTCAGTTCGTCCACCCTCCCCTCCACTTCACTGAGCTCACCCCGGCTGGGCTCAAACAGGTTGCCAAGCAGGGTGACGGTGGATCAGAGCATCACGGCGCCCCCATCCCCTCGTGTTGACCACTTGCTCGACTGTGGTATCTCACTTTTGGGGGTTCGTCGCACCACAGTAACCTCCGATGTTCCTGTCATCAGTAACTTTACGATGGCATTCACTTTTTTATGTAGCATTTAGATGGCAATGTCTGATGTAACCATTCAGCCTTTTCAGGGTTGTGGGGGAGAACTGACTTTTTTGTTATTATTTATAGCTGTCATAAAAGCACCATCCCTGAACAAGAGTTTCACTCTCTCTCAATTGAGTTCTGCCTGTCTGTGTCATTTTTTTGGTCTTCTGTGTTTTGCATGGGAGCGGATGTGTACTTGCCTGTTCTAAGTCCGGGGTTTTCAAATTAGTGTGTGAAAATGGGCCTGCAAAAAAAAAAAAAAAATTGAATGAATGAAAAAATGTATTTTACGGGCGTCAGGGAATGTATTTTAAGGCTGTTAGAGCCGTCAGGGAAGTCAATGTTTGCACTTATGATATTAATGAAATCTATTGACAGTACTAGTTTTTAAACGGTAAGAAAAAATCTGCATGTTTTGTTCACTGAGGCTCCATAAATACATGAACAAAAACATGGTGAAATATTGTAAATTCACTTTATAAACTTTTTCAGCAGTCATTAGTCCAGTCTTCAGTGTCTAATGATCCTTCAGAAATCATTTTAATATGCTGATTTAGTGCTCAAGAAACATTTATCTCAACACGGCTACGCTGCGTTATATTTTTGTGTAAACCACAAAGCAGGATCCTTTCATGAATAGAACATTATGAAGATTATAAACATCTTTAGGGTCACTTTTGATCGCTTTAATCCTTGACGAGTATTCATTTCTTTAGAAATGTACTGACCCCACACTTTTGATTTTATGTAATTTGTATTTTCCCCCACAAAACTATACTTTTTTTTTAGCTTGAGCTGTCAACTCAAAAGTCAATATTTTTAGATTAAAAAAATGAGTTGACGGCTTATCAAAGACATAAAAATATATGCATAACATAATTCTCAGATACTCTGTCTACTTATGAGGAAAGAATTTATGTTTTAAGTGTACAGCATATTAAAGGCATTTTTATTTTTATCTTGAAAATACTTTTGACAATTTACTTTAACAATTTTACTTTTTTACTGGTCGTTTTTTTGTATACATGAAAAATTCTCAGGGTCCCTAAGGGATCCAAATTGTTGGGGGTCCTTGCCATCAAAACATTTGAAAATCCCTGGTCTTGTTAATAGTAGAATCATAATACTTGCGCAAACCACATTGTCCAGGTACACATGTAACATTTTAATCGCACCACCGCAGTGAAGGAACAAGCACTGATCATGACCTTTCACCTATTAAGAGATGTCCAAACACAAGCAGAATGTCTTCACCCTTCAGAATTATCTCTATGATGCATGTTTTTGACATTATCTAAGTGTGCTACTGAGCATCATCGAGTTGCATGTTTCCTTCGTGCTCAGATGAAAGCCCAAGTGTTCTCCTGGGAGGAACTGCCTGTAAGATGACAGTCGGCGGATGATGAGTCCCCAAGTGTGGGTCGTATGAAAGGCCAGCCTTATCTCTTCAGATGACAGCATCTCTGTGACAGCTTACCCAAAGCAACAATGCCCCTACCCGTCACTCCACTTTTAAATGAGTTTTCCGGTCCTGTGCAGTTTAGACGACACAGACCGGAAATATTTTTTTAGCCTGTAAATGTTTTTACAGTGACAACATGGGGGTTTTGAAGGCACTGCAGAAGGAAAATAAGATATTACATAGGTTCACAATCAACAAACACTTATCAGAGCAAAATAAAAAAATGCCATTGAAAATCATTCATTTTTGATATGTGCCAAACCAACTGGTACAACTACACGAGTCACTCAGGAAATCTTGAGGTTTCTATCTATATGCTCCTTTTCCAGCTTTATATGGTGTATAATTGGCTTCGGAAAATTCCAGCACAGTTGAAAGAGAAGTCGCAGACAGAAAGCTTAGGAACTCGCAAAACGAAGGCTTATTTTGTCTTTATTTTATACAATTTTTACAACATGCAAAAAAAAACTTGTTAAAAGTGAAAATAATATTGAGCTATAAAATGTATATTGGAGTCCAGCTTTTCATGAAAGCACCATTTTTTTTCTGTCAGAAATATTGCAGCTCAAGTTTCTCGACAGTCTCTTTCCACTGAGATAAACTAGGGACAGGGCCGTTATTGCAGAATTGATATATGGCATTAAACCAATGGGAGTCATGAAGCATTTCCAAAACTTTCTGGGAAAGGGAGCTGTTCTCCTCTCACTTGCCCGACTCCAGAAATGGGGGAATTCAAGGAATGCTGGAAAAGACAGACCTCAAAATCATTATAGAGTTAAACCCTGTCAATCATTGACACAAAAGCTCTTCTCATATTGACAAGCACAACGTTCGGTTTGCTACACAGTACACTTATTGGTTCAAGTTATGAAAGATACATGCTACATTTATCTTGATACCTTCATGTACATTCTCGTTGGGTAACACACATGTGCTCATTCTTTGCTCTCCCGAGCATGTGTTCTGTAGCAGTACTCTTATCACTCTCAGGCTGGGTTCTGTGAAACTATGGAGGACACGTTCTGAGAATTTAACAAGTCAATATAAGAGGTCAGTATTCCCCGCTGATGGAATTTAAGACGGGGAACTGCTCTGCCGTTTGCGTTTCTTAGTAGGATCCCCTGAGGTGAGTGCATGTGTTCCAGAGCTCACGGGGCAAGGTTTACTGCTGTCTCCTGATGGCACATATGGAGTACGGTCGAGGCTGAAGGGTCATGCCTAGCTTCGGAGAGAGGCTTGGAATAAAGCCTTCGGGGAACTGAAGATGGAACCTCTGGAGCAACGTGGTGAAGAACAAGAACATCTCCAGTCTGGCCAACTGCTCTCCCAGACAGTGCCGCTTACCTAAAGACAAACACACAGAAATCAGATACATCAGAACAACGAAAATCTTCTAGATTGACCGATTTCCCAAATATCTGCCATTTACCTATGGAGAAAGGAAGAAATGCTTCATGCCGGACAAATTTGCCATTACAGTCAAGGAACCGCTCTGGGCAGAAGATGGATGGGTCACTCCAGTACTTCTCATCAAAATGCACCGAGTACAAGTTAGTGATGACCATGGTGCCCCTGGGGATAGTGTAGCCACGCACCACCGCATCTTGAGACGTAGTGCGGAAGATGCCCAGTGGGACAACATTGCAAAAGCGCAGGACTTCATGCAGCACTGCCTCCACATATGGCATCCTCTGCTTGTCTTCAAGAGCAGGTGGTCTGCCATTCAGGATGCAATCGATCTCCATTTGGACCTTTTCTGCACGGAAAAAACGTAACGTGATTAGTGCAATGACATTCAAATGATGCAAACGAGAAAAAATACCCATTGCTCTGTGGGCACCAACCTTGTATCCTGGGATACAGAGCCATGTAGAGCATAGCCCAGCGCAGACAATTTGTGGTAGTCTCTGTTCCCGCAATGATGAGTTCTCCAACAGAGAAAATGAGATTATCTTGAGAGAAAGATGTAGCTTTATCGGTGGCGCTCTGCTCCATTTCGTCCAAGTAGGCATCAATGTAATGTTGCGGCGACTGGGGTACCCTATCCTGCGAGAAGCGCTTGATGATTTGCAGAAGGAAGTCGTAGACCTCGTTGGCGTTGCGGAAGAGCTTTTGGTGCTTCCCGAAGGGCACGTACTCCATCCAGGGGAAGGCGTTGTACAGGAAAGCCCAGCCACTGGCTGCCAGCTCCACATTCTCGCTGAAGATCTCAATCATGTGTTGAAAATCGCTGTCGTCGTAGGTGAAACGTTGCCCGAAGATAATGAGGTTGGTGATGTTGGACACGGCATTGGTCACGAGATGCTTAGGGTTAAAGGGCTTCCCCTGATGCTGGTCAATGGCATGGAGAAAAAACAGGCACTCCTCAGAAATCCTCCCAAACATCCGCTGACCGCTGCCAAAGAAGCGGAAGCAGTTCACGGCCAGTTTGTGGTGTTCAATCCAGCCTCGACCGTATTTGCAGTTCAGAAGGCCTAGACAGAGAACAAACAATGCTGAGAGATGTCGGTTTAAATATGGAAACAAAGAAAGTTTATCTAATGATAAACTTTCTGTATGTTTAACCTGAGATGATTAGTCAAACGGTACTAGTCTCATGGGTTAAACACAGATTACAAGAACTGCGATACTGATAAAGTGATAACCTCATGTGTGACTGTCCGCTCTTCTCTAGCTATTGCCCCAACTCTGACATACATTACCATGCCAGAGCCTTTTCTCTGAATCCCCCAGATAGTTAAAGGAATAGTTCACTAAAAATGAAAAATCATTTCATTCACTTACCTCGTGTTGTTCTAAACCTGGGTGCTGTTACATATTCTACATAAAGCTAAAGGAATTTTTCTTTTCTTTTCACATAGAACATTTGGTAACACTTTATTTTAAGGTGTCCTTGTTACACGTTACATGTATTTACTATTATAATAACTCTTAATTATGCATAATTACATGCAAGTAACCCTAAGCCAAACCCTAATCCTAACCCTATACATAGTTAATTAATATTACTCAGTACTTAAATTTATAATTACACTGTTACAAGGACACCTTAAAATAAAGTATAACTCAACATTTTATAGTGACTGTTGAGCACCATAAAACTAGTCCATATGCACAAATCAAAATTCAAGTTATTCATGGGGGGGGGGCTGGGGTGTCTTGTGTGTTCCATGGAAACAATAACTACATGTAGGTTTAGAAGAACATGAGAGGGAATAATAATAATAATAATAATAATAAAACTTTCATTTTTGGGTGAACTATTCCTTTAATCTAGATCATTCTGCAGTGCTCTATTCTGGGAAATCATTCTAAAATAAATGATTCTATAAGGAACCACTTACCTCCCATTTTTGTCATCTTCTGAAATAAAGGGAGGGATGGGCGATCTGCAAAAACCTCACTTTGGTGATATAGGCACTCTTTAATGACATCATAACCATTTAGAATAACAGTCGAGATTCCTCCCAGGTCTAGACTGAAAATCTGGATAATAAAATGGCAATATTCATTAATCCACTCCCCTGCCAAACATATTTCTACTAATGAAAGAGTATAATTAGAAGGCTACATTCACTCTTATGGATACAGTGAGGAAATGAATTAGGCATGCTGACTCAGCATGTCTTGGCCATTCTACAAAACTGAGTGC